GCAGCAACCGCAAAAGACAAATCGTGGCAGTCAATCTTTCTTTTATTTTTTCCCTTTTTTTGGACAATTTCTCGATTTAAAAAAAAAGAAAAAAAAGGGCCACGAAGCTTTAGTATGGGCCTCACTCCTGAAACGGTTTTCACCTTTTAGCAGTAGCGGATGCAGTACCCAGGGTTCGATCCCTAGACCTCACCCTACCCATGTACAGTATCTGTGTAGACCCTGAGAAACTGCCATAGCTGTAGTTAGTAGTGAGTGTGTGTGTGTGTTCGAGTGTTAGAGCGATGCGTGTGGGATATCCAGGGTGATCCAGTGTATGTGAACAGTGAGATGTTTGGGCGCTGAAGTCGCCATAGCCAATTGAGAGTGAACTCGTATCTGAAAGCCATATCTCTGAGTTTTGAGTGGGCGCATGTCGCCAGTATGCTGCGTTGCTGTTTACATGCATGAAAAGTGTGTTTGAAAACGAGTCTGATTGCACTCCGTTTAGGAATAGTCTTTTTTAAGAACAGTCTCCGTTTGGACAGACTCGGTGGATCTGGGTTTTAACCCTGCATCTCGCCTGTTGTTTGGCGTTTAGGTTGTTTGATGTGTTTGTAAGGTTCGAACCTAAACGGTTGGGTACTTACAGCTATCGGACCTTGGTTTTGACAGTTCGACCCCGGATCTGAATCGGACCATGTTATTCTTGAGGCTGTTACTAGTAGTATTTGGATTTTCAAGGGGTTACGGTCCACCGGCCTCAGTCGAGGGGGGTAGGACCGGGTAACAATTTTTGTTATTACCGTGCTATAAATCCGTAGGAGTAGATTAGTTCCGCCTCTTTGGTCCGGTATTGTCTCCGACCGTGACGACGGCGGACTTCATTACCGGGTGGACTGTGGTTCGTGGTGGTTTCTTGGGGTTGTTGGTCTGATAAGTGTAACCATCGATTGTTACTTGTCTACATCTACGTGTCATGCTTTGACTATGCGTGTACTGCTCTGTGTGTTCTCACACTCTGCCTGTCACCATACCATCTCAACTCAACTCACTCCACTCTCTCGACATGCACAAAAGACAAAAATCATGGCAGTGTATCTTTCCGTGTTCTAGCGGAAGATTCACTCTCGTTTTGCACATGTAGCGAGCAGTGGAGCGAGGCCCTATATTTCCATGTCCCAACTTGAAGCGAATCTGATCGCGTAGGATGAGGCGTGGGCCTCGCTGCACTGCTCTCGACATGCACAAAAGACAAAAATCATGGGGGTGTACCTTTTCGTAATCTAGCGGAAGATTCACTCTCGTTTTGCACATTTCGAGAGTAGTGCAGCGAGGCCCTGTATCTGTCCTTTTTTTTTTTTTTCTTGTACGCTGCGTGAGCGTCTTTGTTTCCAGAATTCGCGCCGCTCCAAGAGGAACAGCCCCCCGCTCGCGCCGTTTTCAGAGGGAGATATTTTCTTTCGTTTTCTCACTTTTTTTTTTTTTTCTCTGGTCGCCCGTTTCCGTTTTCAAAACGAGCGACCACCACGCATGGGTCGAGGCTGTACCGAGCCTCTATCAGGCCTGCCCACGTCCTCCATGAATTCAGGAGGCAACAAAAGTTTGGCTGGGCAGGGTACTGGTGGTTTAAGCTACGGTAGGCCCTGTTGGTCTCTGCACACCTTATTCTCAAGCTTGGCTGCATTACTCACCAAATGTCAAAAATTAGAATGAATCTTCCGCTAGAACATGGAACCATACGCAGCCATACGTTTTGTCTTTTGTGCACGTGGTGAGTAGCGCACCGAGGCCCTTAGCGCCAGGGTTGTCGAGCCCCGGCCCCGGGGCCCCGGCGGGGGTCCCGGGGGCCGGG